GAAGCCTGCACTCACAAACAAAAAAATCTCCACACCACAAGCCAGGCAAACACCTGGGCACAAACAGATCCCCCCTGATACCTCCAGCTCAAACACATCCCAACCAGGCACCCAGATGAAACCCAGCTGCCTAACTAATGATAGCCGTCCATTTACCCAAAGCCAAGCTGCACTAAAGGCCTCCAATAAAGTAACACAATGCTGCCAGCCAATCAAGATACAAAAAGAGCCAAAAAAACAGACAGAAGATATTAGAGACACCAATCAAGCAGAACACAGCAAACTCCGAGACCAATAAACACAGACCAAGACTCCCAACCAATCAGGATGAAGAAAAAACCATTCTGGCACAGCAATAGGCTGCCCCAAATTTAAATCTGAAACCACTGTAAAAGTCTGACCCACAGACGGACACAATACAGAAGCCTGATGATGGCAGATGAGATTCTGCCGAAACGTTGCTACAACTTTAAAAGCACAACTATAATGACATGGGAAAATACCCGAACAAAGCAATACCATACATGTAAGTACTCGCGAAAACTTAAGAATCTATCTATCTATCTATCTATCTATCTATCTATCTATCTATCTATCATCGGATATTCCCTGCTGAAGTTGAGCCAGAGGAACTGGCATTTGTGCTAAATGCAATCTGGTGAATGAGAAAAAAATATTGCAAGATAGAGTGACTGCTAAAACATGTCCTCTATTGAAGGAAGAAGTAACATATATAGAAGCTGGTGCATGGAACAGTTTACCCTACTCGGTTCATCTCTCATTTGTTGTGTGAGCGAGAGAGACTTTCACTACATCCGTGCATCCCCTTATCAGACTTTTAAGAAAAAGGATATTACCATATGCATGTTATGCTTCTCTGGGCTTTTTTGTTTAATACAAACAAGAGAAATTTGCTGAGAGATTTTGCATATCATTTAATTGTGTGCCATAAATGAATATTTATATGGAAATGTAGCAATGTAGCATCTTGAGAATATATGCGGGGGAAAGTAATAATAAAAATAAGAAATTTCTAGCAAGTTAGCAGGAATCTTAGCATTATAGTTTTGGATGCTTTATGACTGAATTGCTAAATTTGTTTATCGTTTAAATACATGACTTTTTATTCTACTTACTAATCTTACATGCCCTGGATGGTCTCATAAACGCCTGCCATAGACCTGGTTTACCTATTCATGGAATGGCTAATGACAGAACACCCAGTTGTTCTCTGTTCTTCTGCTTTCCTTTTTCTTGTTTCTGGGCAGCTGGAAACATTTTTCACACAAAGCACTGGCTCGGCTGCTTCTATTTTCTAAGAATGTTTTAGAAGAGTCTGTGTTTGTTTTACACTAGATTCATTTGCTTCTGCAAATTCAGATAAATCAAGGCACATCAAATCACCAATGGCTTTGTTAAAATTAATAGCTGCACATTTTGTTCAGTATAGCTGCCTATAACAGGACCTTGTATAATCAGAATTCACTATATTAAAAATACCGATTAAAAATGAATATATCAAAAAATATAAACTGGAAATAGGTTTTCTTCAGAACATAAAATCCAGGACAGATTGAATGTAGACACATATTTTTTTTTCTATTGTATTTGCTCCTGTCTTTATACTGAAATTGCTGCTGATTATATCCAATATAGTGATTTGTGCAACAGTTTTGGGCCTAAATTCCCCATAGTCTTTCTAACCTGGTGTCTTAACCACTAGACCAAGCTGCTCTCTTTATCTGCCATTTCCCAATTTTATGAGTGTGAGGTCTGTTTCATTTTTGGTGTTCCTCCCTCTACCTTGTCTTTATTTCTCCCATAAAAAGATAAAGACTGCTTCCAGCATTTTGTGACAGGCCAGACTAAAAACTAGCCACCTTGTCCCCAGTAATAAAATTTATACTATGTTTTAAAATGTCAGATATGTCTACATATTCCAAGAGGTTACTGACCTTTCTTTAAAAAGTGTGTAATTCAAACTTGCACATATTTTAATGGTGAGATACTTGCAATTAATTAGAGATACATAGGCAGCTTTCAAAGATTTTTAAATGTCATCGGCTAATGTAATATGGAGACTGCTAGAAATTATGTAGCATAATTCTAACTTCTCCAGGATAAAAGTTGGAAATCGGAAGGTATATGTGATAATGCGATTAGTTTAAATGTTTATACTGCAAATTCTGTAAGAGATATTAACAATTTTATTCAGTTCCTCTTAAGTATGTGTAACACAAGTCAGTTATTATGACACAATAGATTGACATTTTGTCCACTGGCTTATCTTGTCTTGGGCTTCTTTTACTTCATTCCCTTATTGTTCCTATAAATAATGACGTCCTTATTTTAAGTGCACAAAAGTTGAAAAGAGGGTGATCTAACTACTTGTCTTCTTTTTCAGCTTGTACTTCCAGAGTATCTCATCCATGCATTCTTCTGTGTCATGTTTTTGTGTGCAACAGAATGGCTTACACTGAGTCTTAATATGCCATTATTGGCTTACCACATTTGGAGGTAATTTTGAACGTAGTTTGGTAAAGCTTTTACTTGTACAGCTTTCATTTCTGTTTTTCATGTATTGCATTCTGTGTGAATTGTTCTGCAAGGATTTTCATGCCCCTTAAATTCTGCTCTCCAACATTACTTGGTCTGCTGGGACAGATCAGAGGCCATATTCAATTCTTTCCCCTATTTTTTTTTACTTTTGGAAAATCCCGAGGGAAGCAAGAGAAAGATAACAGTGTGTTGCATTCTTTTGCTGCATCCTCAACAGAGATCAGTTGTGATCTCATTGTCATTGCTCATACTTAATACAGTTGCTTTGTGCTTTTACTCCTAAAGAAATTGAAACAAAACTTAATGTTTATATTTCTATTCAGCAACCTGAAAAAGAGAGGGATCAGTTCAGCACATTCAGAGGGATATTATCCTTCTGCCAGATATTATAAGATACTATCTCTTTCTGCTATTAGAAACCACCCCTTTCACATTGTTGCTTATCTCAGCTGCAGGGATCCTAGGATGATCATAAAGAATGCTTCACCTAGATTTGCGATTTCATGTGTTTCATGAAACATGTCTTATTGTTTGAGGTTGGCCCTTTGCTCAGTACATTTTGATGTCAGAAACTGAATGTTGGCAGAGATAAACTGAACAGAGATTTTCCATTTTAATTGGTTTTTCCGTTGGATTTTCCATTTTCATTGAGAGCCAATTTGGCGTAGTGGTTTAAGCACCAGGGTATAAACTGGGAAACTGGGAGTTCTAGTTCTGGTCCCATCTTAGGCATGAAACCAAATAGGGTGACCTAGGGGCAGTTCAGCCTAGGAAGCAGGCAGTGGCAAACCATTTGCCAAGATAACTGCAGGGACATATCCAGGTGGTCACCAAGAGTCAACAGTGACTTGAAGGACAACCCCCCCTCCCCAATTAACGCTGAATCAAGGAATTTGGAGTGTGTGGAATAAATGGCAGGATAGAAAGCACTATAAGCGTGAGAATGGGTATAGTTTCTTGACAAGCAAACTCGTTTTTCCTGTGGCTTTTCAAAAAAAAAAAAAACCAATTCACTTTTTCAGGTATATGAGTAGGCCTGTAATGAGTGGACCAGGACTCTATGATCCCACAACCATTATGAATGCGGATATTTTAGCATATTGTCAGAAGGAAGGATGGTGCAAACTAGCGTTTTATCTTCTATCCTTTTTTTACTACCTATATGGGTAAGTCACCTGTTTTTAATAAAATAATGTCTTTCTGATAAGTAGTTGAACACGCAGTGTAAGAAAGCTAAATAAAACTATAAAGATGCTTTTACTGAATTACAGCAATGTCTTTTAAAAATGTTATAAACGCCCAGGCACCTATTATTCATTTCCTTGACACAGGGGAGTCCCAATCTTTTTGATCTCTGGGCATATTTAATGTTACAAGACTAAGTTATGTCATTTTATGAAATGGTTCCCATGGTGAAGTTAGACAAGAATCGCTTGCATACCATAATATACCTTATATAATCAGTTGCAATCACCTACATTATTTTCCAATAAAGCTCTATGTTCCATGAATAACAGAGATTTTGTTGGAAATACCTATTAAATTTGAGACTGAAGCTTTGTTTCATTGCATGGTGGCTTCCCTAAGTAAGCACAGACACAATGAAAGGGGGAAGGGATGTTGATGAATGCCCAGCAGCATCTGGTTCAATTTATACCCTGCTCTTAATTCAGCAGCTTAAGATGGCACACCTAATTGTTTCCTCCCATTTTCCCCTACAGCAGAAATCCTGTAACATAGATTGAAAATGGATCTGAGTCTCAGGTTCAAGTCCAATCCCTTAAACTATAATACCATAATGACTCACTGCCTGTCACATTGTTGATTCAGCAATAACAGGGATATAGAATTCCTGATTCTTTTGGAATTCCTGATCCTGGAGCAAGAGCCTCACCATTGACTTTTAGAGGAGAAAATATTCGTTTAGAAGTTGCTTACTAAATTGCTTTATTGAGGAAGATGCTTTACTTTAGACAAAACCGGCTTTCACTTTCAAAAATAAAAATAACATTGCACAGCTATTTTTAAATATTAAGACATTTAAAATGATTTTGTAATAAGTTGGGATTTGATTGTCAGAATAACATTAAACACAATCAATGATGAACAATTGTGTTAATGTAATCTGGAGATGTGTACCCTCTTTAGTATAAATATATATTGGCTTGGTTGATTTCTATATTATTAAGAATAAATCCTGCAAATAAAGCATTTATGATATGGTGGAAACTAGTAATTAACTTTGGTGAATCACTGGAGCTTGAATAAGGGCCATGATCATAAATTTGGAACTGTCCATACTATTTTCAATGTAGCTTGGGAGAGGAAAAACATGTCACCTTTTCTTCTCTTGGCAGAGGTTTTTAATTGGTGTACTGCAATTATCATACTGTTACATAAGTGAGTCTGGTCTGGCTTTAAGTTTCTGTGACAGGAAGGATACGCCTGTAGAAATGTCTGGCCATAAGCCTTGTGAGCCCAGTAGTGAAGCTTAAAGGTTGGTTACTAGTTATCCATCTCCAATGAAGCAGAACAAACATTTCAAGAAATAGATATTATCTTTTTATTCTTCTCTTTCCAACAGCATGATTTATGTTTTGGTGAGCTCCTAAAGAATGACATACATCAGACTTGATTCCAGCAAAGTGCATGCAGAAAAGCCATAAAGCAAAGGATTATCTTTGAAGAAGAAACTGGTATAAAGATTTAGCTATGGAATCTGATGATCATAGTAATAATAGAAGGAAAAGGCCTTCCTCTTCTACTGTTTTCTCCCGTCCAAAAGCATCTAGTCTTTAATACTCATGGACAGACTTTTTCAATTGGGATATTTAAAGTGGCAAGAATTACATATAAGTTAATGTAACGCAACTGCCTCTGGCTTTTGGACAGTTTTATTCCTGCCCTCCATAAGGATCAGTTGTATCTTCAGTAAAAATGTGAAAATTACTGTCCTTAGTATAAGAGAGGATTTCTCCCCTTTTGTTTACTTGGACTTTATAGTGGCTTATTTGGATAATGGACTTTCATTCCCCCTGTCAATTGTAGTCAACGTTTCTAAAACACTGAATGCTTTTCTGTATGTTATCTCTTAGGTAACCTCTGTGTGTCACGTAGATGAATACATAAGTACAACTGCAGGAAGAGTTGTAGTTCTATTTTTACTATTAGGATATTCTCCAGTAATATGCATGAAACATTTTCCTATTAACATGAAACACTGAGCTTTAATTTCCCAGGCTAAATGGATGTTAGGAAAAGTAGAGCTCATTATTAACATGAAACATTGAGCTGACTATTCCTTGCTTTAGTTTTCCAGACTACATGAATATTAGGAAAAGTATTTTCATTTTTATTTCATATTTAAAAAAAACCTCTGCAATTGTCTTAAACTGCCATACATCTGAAACCAATTTAATAAAACATCATTTTGAGAATGCAAGGCATATATTTTGAGTTATACATGCCATAGGGTTTGGCAAATTTATTTGCTATGTCACACAATAAAAATCTCCAAGAGATTTAAATATTAACATTTCAGACATAAGCAAGTGGTTAGCTGTTGAGCAAGCATGAATACAATTCTGTGGATTGTTTAACAACTGCTGATTTCTGGGAGTTTTACATTGGTAAACTTTGCTATGGTCCTAAAAGAAAACGCTATGTGTAAGCAAGAATATTGTCTTTGGAACAAGTTATTTAAGTTTTCATTCTGAAAGAAATTTTTAAATCATGTACTTTTCAATTTAAAGCACTTTGGAAAATGGATAAACTCGGGAGAAAAAAGATGATTAAAATAGACGGAATTTTATTCACCCTGTTAAAAGCATTTTAATCTATTCATGATGGGACTTCCCTTTGCAGTTGAAAATAAGGGAGCTACAAGATTACAAAAACTCTTTTGGGTGCAAATGAGTGAGCTTTATTTCATTTAGGTTCATAAAAATGGGTGAAAAGAATGAATATGGAGAACTTTAATTAGAAACAGTCCATCAAAATTTCTGAGCATTTTGAAAAGCTGCGAAGCTGACTTCTTTAAAATGAGTTGAGTTTGCCAAAATGATAGGGAACACATGTGTCCAGATTCTGTTATGAGAGCTGTGTACATTTCTTGTCACCATCTTCAACATCAGAGTATTTAGGCTAGTGCTTGATGTAAAAATTATGTTCATGCAATGCAGCAGTTTCTAGATATGCAAGTTACTGTGGAAGACCTCTGTAATTATCCACATCACTCCTTTAAATATGCGAGATATCCTTAGTGATATGTTCACATGGAAAAGTATTTCAATATTTTCTCTTTTATAGTAGCACTGAATTTTTACATGAACTTGAATGCTAACTGCACCATTGTGCTGCCTATTTGGGAGACCTGCAGCATTTTAAGAATAAAAGTAATGGATTGTCATGCATATTACGACCTTTGGTATTGGAACTTATATTACAGAATGCGTAATGAGTCACAAGCTGGATAAGGCCTCTTGCTTATTTAAACTCATCACCCCAAAAAATCTGCTTAATATTTTTTTAAGCAATGAATGTGTTTGTTCCTATACATCGGTTTGTCAATTTATTAAATATAAAGTTGTAAAAATGGCAGATCTCCTTTGCAGATGGGGAAAAATGTATACTTTCCAGAGCTTATTCTACAAAAGAAGTCCATTTGTAATAGAGCAATTCTATTACTATTCCATTTTCTCTGCTCCTTTTAAAGTAAACATTGTTAGATAGGTTTGTCACTTTTTTGTTATATATGAAACCTGCCATTTATTAGTAATACAAATGTTTTGGAAAGCATAAAAAATTTCCCCCATCTGACAGCCATCATTTACATCCTAAATGTAAATTACATTTATATTCTAAGAATTCATAGCCACAGAATGAAAGAATAATTGTGAGTGCTGAATATGTGCTTGCTCACCCAAACAGCTCTTTTTATATTTGAAAGGGAAAATGGACAGAATAGCAAACTGATCAAACCAAATTCAATTCAATTATGTCTTTGTAGCAATATACACCAGAGTACATCAGCCAAACCAAAGCAAAGATAAAATGATTGTTGAAAAAATAAGATACTGGTTTGTTGAGTTTATATGTACTTATGAATATTTTTTGCATGCTCTTTTATCTGTTGACTGTGGAACATTCAGTGTATCTTCAAAGATGGAGATATTCACTGTATGGGTAAAGGCATCCCGAATCTAAGCATTGGAGAAGAATATGTACAACATACTCCACGCCTCAGTGGACCAGCCAATCATGTGTGCTAATGCTTTTTGCATTTACATAATCTCTGTGAATGTAAGCATGTGCAAAAGAAGGTATCATGGCAATAAGGGAAGCAAAGCATGTCAACTTCTCCCTTACTTTGTCAGTGAGCTTTCATCAGCATCCTGATGAAGGGATCAATATAGAAGCTTCCCATTTGATCACTGCAACAGGTTTTGCTGATGAAATGATTCAATTTGCCAAAATCTTGACTTCATCTGAGCAGTCTTTGGTGGTAATTAGGGTCCTGATCTATTATGGACTGCTTTTGACCCATGAATGGGGTGGATAGGGTGTTGCCTGGGTGGTTCTGTGCTTAGTATCCTGGCAGTTAAAGGGGGCAGGTAGAGAGGTAACATCTTGGGTCTGAGAGATTGTTAGTGCTTCTTTGCAGAGGGCAGGTTACCAATCTTGAAGGAAGCTGTGGTGTAGTCCCTTCTGAAACGGCCGTCCTTTGATCCAATTATTTGGTGTCCAATTTAAACTTTGGGTGAAGATACTGATACTGAACCAACTTCAAAACATCCTAGAAGTGGATTATTTAGACCCTTTCCAGTCAGGGATAAGGCCCTGGTATATGAAAGATGGCTTAAATTGCTCTTTTGGATAACCTGTGTCAGGATTTGGGTGGTGCGGTTAACCCACCTAGACCTGCTAGATCTCTTAGCAGCCGTCCACACTATTGTTTGTGGTATCTTATTGCACCATTTATAAGCAGATATTATCCATTTATGGGAATCATTGTTTTGCATGGTTCTTCTCCTTAGGCAGATTCAATCTGTGGTTGTGTGTGTGTGGTTGTGTGTGTGTGAGAGAGAGGGAGGTTGGTCCAATGACCCCAATATGTGTAATGCTACAGGGGTTGGATGCCCCTCCTATGCTCTTCAACAGTTGCATGGGACCATTGGGGGAAGTGGTTCTGACAATTTGGGATGTAGCAACAGCAAGCTGTAATTTTGCATTGCCACTTCAAGTTGTATAGTTTGAGAGATGCTTCAATTTTGTATCCTGGTACCTGTATGAAAAGTAACAGGTTGAAATAGATGAAGCTACTGTTTTTACATCTCTCAACAGCATAGATATGCAGGCACTATCTATGAAGGAACATGTTCACAACTGGGGGTCCTTTTGGATTCATGGCCTCTGCTTTAACTGTGGATGGAAACCGGCTGGAGGAGCCTTTCCCAGCTTCAACTAATATGTAATTATAATTATCTTTTGCAGAGGACCTGAGTATAGCAATTCATGCCCTCATCACCTGATTAGACTGATGTAATATGCTTTACCTGGGCTGCCCTTGAAGACCAATTGGAAATTACAGCTGGTTTAGAATAGTGGCCACTCACCTGTTCTTTGTATAGGAACAAATCTTATTGTATATTAACATTACTGATATAACATACTTGCATTGTGGGTTACAATTTAGGATGCTGGGATTTGACCTATAAGGTCATTTTTCTTGGTATCTAGAGGATTGTCTGCTCCAACCAGAATTGCTTGACCCAGTAGTCCTTCCAGAGATAAACTAGTCTCTAGTTCCTGAATGATGAAGAAGGCTCAAGCTAGAAAGAACTGCTTCTTCCTGGTGATGCATTTTGGGAAAGCCTTCCAACAGAAATTAGGCTATTTGCTTCCTTGTTGACCTAAAAATGTTAAAATTATTTTGGAGAGCTTCTAAATTTATATACTGCAGCGTTGTTTATTTTTTATTACAACTTTTTTATTTGGAGGGTTTTTTTTATTTCATTTTAACCATACCATGGATATTTAGCATGACATGGATATTGTAATTATTCCTTTGCTATATTCTACCATGTAAGCTGCCAGGAGTCACTAGATTGTGGTGGATATAGATTTAATGAATAATGTAAGTGGACAACTGTATTGCCTCAGGGGGCAGACCTACTTCACTCTTATAAAAAATTTTGAATTTGAATTGGCTGCTATTGCAGAATATGTTTCAAATTTGTGCCAAACACAAGGGAGGCAGTATTTTTGTCCTACATTTTTCTTTATGCAAAGAGCACTTCCTGAGTAGCAGGTTGGACTGCTAGTCCTGAAAACATCCTGGTTGGCCGATACTGTAGTTGTAGTAATGATAGAGTGATCTTCCAGATGACAAACTGGTGACAAACTTAAATGCAAGTAATTCTGTTTTTTAAGGAAGACTAATGAATTGCTTATTCAGGGAACAGGCAAACTCATGAACATCTCTACTTGTGAACAAGCATCTGGTTTCCCATAGGCATCTACAGGGACACACCAATTGAAAAGTGAACACATGAAACAACTCACAATATTTCTATTGCTGGTGTCTCACAATATACTCCACCAAAAAGTTGGCACTGCTGTAATATAAATTAATGTAATTCTCCTATGGAGACTTTTCCATAAACTGCATAAAGGTGTACAACAACAAAAAAAACACCCTATCACAGCAGAGAAATCTTACAGGAATTGGAAAGGATATAAAGTAAAAAGATTAAAAATATTTATTATGCATTCTGCTACATGCTATAATTTGCTGTCAAAATACAATCCGCAGGTGGAACTTTATTCAGGGACTTGTGCAATATAGTCTCGTATCCCTCGTCAAGGCAGTAACGGGCAGGCGATTAATAAAATTATTTTCCACTATGCAGAAAGCAAAAACAGTGCAATGTATAATTTCAAGTAGTAACTAAACTCAGGGTATTTATCGGGATACTGATCTTGGTCGCTCACTTTCTGTTGCCAAATAGGCAGCCAAGGTCTCCTGAAAATCATGAAGGTAGTTGTACTGCTGTAAAGAAAAAAGGATGCTTCAGAATGATTGAACTTCAACGTTAGGATGACTTAACTTTTTCTAATGATATGGCTTGGAATGAGTGGAGAACCACAGAGAAGAAACATAGAATGGATTCCCATTCTCCAACTCTAACCCTAACTAGACTCTCCTCTCCTCTGAAGGTGTAGATCAGGGGTGTCCAACCTTGGCAACTTTAAGACTTGTGGACTTCAACTCCCAGAATTCCTCAGCCAGCT